TATATATGTATGTATATATGTATGTATATATATATGTATATATGTATGTATATATGTATGTATATATATGTATATATATATAACTTAGATTAAAATAATAACTATAAGTACAACAAAAATAGAATGTACTTGCAGAATCAGAAAATAAGCGCAAATATCAAAGAATAAGTCTGATTATAAAAATCAGAAAAAGGAAATAGCATGAGGAAAACATATGGAGAAAGTTTCATTTGCATTATATCATATTTTGGTGGCATATGGATTTATCTACACTGCCAATTAATATACTTCCTTATGATGATACTGTAATTTAAAAACCCATAAGTTGAACAAAAATAGACATAGGAGTCTAACTCCCTGCACAGACTTGCCACAGACCAGGGAACGGAACCCCGAGTTGTTTTGCCGAGCTGGCCGCGTCTCCTGACCTGTGGAGGGAAATAAGCAGTGTTTCCAGAGGACGGCTGTGTGTCCAGGGTGCTGTGCAGTGAGGACTCCTCACGTGGTTCCAGGCTCCCTGCGTTCCGAGCGCCCCCACCCGGCCTGTGCGCTGGAAGGGCCACGTGGTTCTGTCCAGGGAGTTATGAGTGGACATTACGTGCAGACTGCCACTGTTCCACAGACCACTCTTTCCCTCTGTCACAATGAGCAGAGTCCACCTGGCAGCCCATGGTGGACACAGGCGTAGAGGCCGGACCTCCAGGACTAGGTGTCTGCAGCCACTGTTTGTCACAGCAGAGCACACACGGGCCCCCATCTGGAAAGCAGTCTCCCCTGGAGCCACATGCGGTCATGACCAGAGTGGACCTCTCCTGGACACCTGCTGGCCAGGACCCCATCTGATAGCAGTGCTCCCACCATAAGTGTGATATGTAGCTCATCAGACCAAGTGAAGACCTTTGGGCAGGACTGAACGCTCTTCATTCTCCCAAGCTGCTTAAATCGCTACAGTTGCTTCATGGTACTGTCAGTCGAAGCCCACTCCGCTCACTCTAGATGACAGAGCAGAGCTGGCCAGGGTCTCCAAGCCCTGACCCAGAGGGAGATGGCCATGTGCTCCCCACACCGAGAGCTCCCCCCATCACATGCTCCTTCCACAGACCAACAGGGGTTCAACTCCCCAGCTTTCCACTAGCAGCAGAGGGTCATCATGACACCTCAAAAGTTTGTGTTACTCTTATGTCCTCAAATCAGCACTGGCTCATAGCTGACCCTTCAGAGGGTTTTCCTGGGAGGAGATTGCCTGTC